CTTCGAAAATGGAAAAGACCAGGAGCAGAGAAACATAGGCACCTTTCAGAAGCCAGAAAAGGCAAGGGAACAGCTTTCCCCCTAGAGCCACCAGAAGGAACATAGCCTTGTCGACACCTTGATGTTAGCCCAGTGAGACCTATTTCAGACTTCTGACCTCCAGAACTGAAGGACAATAAATTTGTGTTGTTTTAAGCACTAAGTTTGCAGTCATTTGTTACAGCAGCAATAAGAAACTAGTACAATAACCTAAAATAGCAGTGGGGTATTCCAATGGGGATGGAGCCACGGTCTCCAACAGTAAAGTTTTCCCTGACAATAAATACTCTAAAAAGAACTTTCGAAAAATGTTAGCTAGCCCACCTGCTCAGCCACTGACTTTACATGCAGACAGTTCGGTAAAAATCTTAATTTTCAATCAACTCACTCCGAGCACTGGCAGATTAATTCACATTAATTATCTCATTTAACCCTTATAACAACACTATGACATAGATCGTATCATCCCCATTTGATGGATGGTATAACTGAGGCTCAGATAATAATAAGTATAGTTAATAAATATTGAGCACTTACTCTGAGCTAGGCATTATACTAAGCACTTCAGGTGTTAACTAATTTAATTCTCCCAAAAATTCTATTTCCATTTACAGATGAGAAAACTGAGGCAGGGAGTCTAAGTAACGTTCCAAAATCCTCGCAGGCAATGAGTGGCAGGGCTGAGACTGGAACCCAGGTCCCTCAGGTGCCAAGATCAGGGTCGCACTCCCACAACCTCTCATCACTGTCAGCATCATTACCACCAATTACTGATAACAGGAGACGCCTCTGGGATGGAGTCCAGCCCTGCCTTTCTCTCTGAGTCCCTTTCAGGGTCCTACCAGGTAAGACAGTGGTGGCTGTCTAACGAGCCACGTGGCAGGGTTCAAAGATGACCTCACGGCTAGAGCTCCAAGTGGCAACTGGTCCCTTGGAAGGGCCTCCCTGGCACTGTTTATTAGCAACAGCAATGATAGCCTCCACTCTCTCCTTGGCACTTCAGCCTCCCTCTTCCTCTGACCCTCCTGACTTATTCCCACATGTACATTAAACAGGGGTGCCCTCCTGAGCCTCCCTAAAGACAGGGAGTCCCAGGAAAGGGCTCTCTTAAACACACATGCTAAAATCCAGAGGGGAGCCAGTCCCGTCCCAGGGATAGCATTCGAGGCTGTGGCTCACTTGGCTGATAAGCTCAGCTGCTCACCCCTGAGTCCCAGCACGTCCCTTCTCACCTCCCACCCAGCCTCACACCCAACACCCTGCAGGCCAGCGTTTACACTGGCACTCCCTCTTGCCCCCAGGCAGAGCTGATTCTAGGAAAACTGTGGGATTTCTCTGTAGAACCTTCAGTGATCCTCTTAGTCCTCATCTACCTTTCAAGGAGCAATCTTCTATTTCCTTTTCTTTAAATCTTGGGCCTCATTTCAACTACCTCTTGCTGAACAGAGATATACGGTGATGCTGGTAAGAGCTTAGAGCATGACAGCCATCTGAGGGTGTCTCAGAAGTGGACTCTGGTACGGCACCTCCAGCCAGTGAGCTCAGGCCTCAGTGGCTCCAGCTTGCCAGGACCTGGACTCCTGAGCCCGGAACCCTGGATCTGTAGAAAAGAGAAGCCTGGCAACACAGAGGTCTGACTGAATTCTATTGGCAGGACTAAAAGTTTGGGCAGATAGGAAAACAGAAGGTGAAGAGCCAACAGATATCTACCTGCATTCTCAACAGGGGGTTCTAAGGCACCAAGCTTCAGGAGCTGAGAGGAAACTTTCCAGACCATAAACCCATCCTGGAACAGCAATATGGTTTTCTGAGGCTGGGAGAAACAGGCAGGGAGAACCGTGTAGGATGCACTCCTGAATGGAAGACTCCAGTTAAATACATGTAGATCATCTGCCACCCTCACGTACCCACAGAGGGCCCACCTTCCTGATTTGGAGAGGAAGTGACTGCTTGTAGGAACGCCTTGCTTTTCTGGAGAGACAGGTGATGGAACTAATCACCAATCTTAAAACGCCTGGAACTGTTCTAAGGACTTGAATTTAATCCTCACAGCCCTTTAGGTATTATCAACCCCATTGGACAGATGAAGAAAGTGAGGCATAGAGCAGTTGGGTAACTCCAAAGTTGCCAACCCGTAAGCTTCACTCTCAGCCGGGGTCTGAACCTAAGCAAGCCAACCCCAGAGCCTCTGGTCTTGACCATGCCCCTCCCCCAGCCTTCCCCACCCCCGCAGCGGGAAGCCAATTAAATGCACTTGGTGCAGATGCAGCCCAGCTCCCTGATTTATGACGATTTGGGACTTGGTCAACTGGGTTTGTTCCGGGCGGGAGTATGTGTTCCCGAGGAGCTACCTTCCTGTGCGTCCAGTCCAGGAGACCTTAACGAGAGAGGGTCCCCATTTTTCTGTCCTCTCTCCAAACTGCCCTCGGGGTTTCTAGCAACTACCACAAAACGCCCTCCCCTTTCTTTCCTTTCCCCGCAATGTAGGGAAGCTGGAGCTTTAGCTGTCCTAGGCAACCAAGAACAAAGTGCAGATGACACGGGCATTAAAATACCAGAATCGATCCGCTGGCCAGCTGGACAGCAATCACACCGCATCCCCGCTCAACAAGTCTCCCTTTCCCGGGGTCGGTGGAGGCCAGGTCTGGGTGGCCCCGCGGCGGGGCACAGCGCCCCCACGGGGCACTGCAGGGTGGCTGCCGCGCGCTGCGCCGGGCTCAGGGAGCTCGCGGAGCTCGCCCGGCCAGGGCGGCCCAACCGGCCCCGGCCGCGGGGTCCCGCAGCGCCGCCCTCCCTCTCGCCCTCTGCCCCGAGGGGTCGGGAGCCAGGGGCCCAGGGCGGGAGGGGGCGTCCGGCATCTGCTCCTTCCTGCTCTCTCCTCTTGGCTTCCAGGAAGCCGCTCTTTCCTGATTCACTTCCTACCTCTCCAGCCCCTTCTTTTCCATCTCCTCTGTGGGTGCCCCTCCGTTATCCTTCCTCATGCATATTGATATTCCCCAGGGCTCCATCCTGAGCTTTCCACTCTCATTCCAGACAATTTTCTAGGAAGATCTCTTTCAAGTTCAGGACTGTAACTGCCACATGCCCCTCCCGTCCATCCCCTCCGGTGCATCCCCTCCGGTCCATCCAGTCCAGAGGGAAGTGCAGCTCTCGACTAGATGGTACCAGGCAGATTTCTCATCAGAACCCAAACTCAGATTCCCCAAAGATTCCCTCAATCCTTCCCAGCTCTCTGCTCCCCTCTTTTAGTAAGAGACTGATTCTAGGAAAACTGTGGGATTTCTCTGTAGAACCTTCAGTGATCCTCTTAGTCCTCATCTACCTTTCAAGGAGCAATCTTCTATTTCCTTTTCTTTAAATCTTGGGCCTCATTTCAACTACCTCTTGCTGAACAGAGATATACGGTGATGCTGGTAAGAGCTTAGAGCATGACAGCCATCTGAGGGTGTCTCAGAAGTGGACTCTGGTACGGCACCTCCAGCCAGTGAGCTCAGGCCTCAGTGGCTCCAGCTTGCCAGGACCTGGACTCCTGAGCCCGGAACCCTGGATCTGTAGAAAAGAGAAGCCTGGCAACACAGAGGTCTGACTGAATTCTATTGGCAGGACTAAAAGTTTGGGCAGATAGGAAAACAGAAGGTGAAGAGCCAACAGATATCTACCTGCATTCTCAACAGGGGGTTCTAAGGCACCAAGCTTCAGGAGCTGAGAGGAAACTTTCCAGACCATAAACCCATCCTGGAACAGCAATATGGTTTTCTGAGGCTGGGAGAAACAGGCAGGGAGAACCGTGTAGGATGCACTCCTGAATGGAAGACTCCAGTTAAATACATGTAGATCATCTGCCACCCTCACGTACCCACAGAGGGCCCACCTTCCTGATTTGGAGAGGAAGTGACTGCTTGTAGGAACGCCTTGCTTTTCTGGAGAGACAGGTGATGGAACTAATCACCAATCTTAAAACGCCTGGAACTGTTCTAAGGACTTGAATTTAATCCTCACAGCCCTTTAGGTATTATCAACCCCATTGGACAGATGAAGAAAGTGAGGCATAGAGCAGTTGGGTAACTCCAAAGTTGCCAACCCGTAAGCTTCACTCTCAGCCGGGGTCTGAACCTAAGCAAGCCAACCCCAGAGCCTCTGGTCTTGACCATGCCCCTCCCCCAGCCTTCCCCACCCCCGCAGCGGGAAGCCAATTAAATGCACTTGGTGCAGATGCAGCCCAGCTCCCTGATTTATGACGATTTGGGACTTGGTCAACTGGGTTTGTTCCGGGCGGGAGTATGTGTTCCCGAGGAGCTACCTTCCTGTGCGTCCAGTCCAGGAGACCTTAACGAGAGAGGGTCCCCATTTTTCTGTCCTCTCTCCAAACTGCCCTCGGGGTTTCTAGCAACTACCACAAAACGCCCTCCCCTTTCTTTCCTTTCCCCGCAATGTAGGGAAGCTGGAGCTTTAGCTGTCCTAGGCAACCAAGAACAAAGTGCAGATGACACGGGCATTAAAATACCAGAATCGATCCGCTGGCCAGCTGGACAGCAATCACACCGCATCCCCGCTCAACAAGTCTCCCTTTCCCGGGGTCGGTGGAGGCCAGGTCTGGGTGGCCCCGCGGCGGGGCACAGCGCCCCCACGGGGCACTGCAGGGTGGCTGCCGCGCGCTGCGCCGGGCTCAGGGAGCTCGCGGAGCTCGCCCGGCCAGGGCGGCCCAACCGGCCCCGGCCGCGGGGTCCCGCAGCGCCGCCCTCCCTCTCGCCCTCTGCCCCGAGGGGTCGGGAGCCAGGGGCCCAGGGCGGGAGGGGGCGTCCGGCGGGAGGGGCCGCGCGGGGCCGCACGGGCCGGGGCGCGGGCCTTTGGACGCGCCCGCGTGCGTGGGTGCCCAAGCTCTGCCTGTCTGTCCGTCTGTCGGTCTGCGCCTCGGGGCTGCGGGGCCAGGCAGGGCCCCGGGGAGAGCGCACCCCGCTCACCTGCAGCCACCGCCGGCGCCTGGGAAGCGAGACAGGGGCGCAGCCTCCCGGGTCTTCGTCGCTGGCCTCCTCGCCCCTCCGAGAGCCACGGCTCTCCCCGGGAATCGCTCGTGGGAGCCGAGGAAGAAGCCCGAGGTGCTGCCGCTGTCTCCTCTTTCGCCGCTTGCTCCGAGTCCCATCCCAGAGCGCTCCGCTCGCTCGCTGGCTGCCTGGGCGGCTCTGGGCCAGCGCCGGCAGGCGGCGGGGGAGGCGGCGCCGCGGAGGGTGGGGAGCGGGCCGGCGGGGGGAGGGGTGTACTGTTTGGGGATGGGGCAGAAGCGGAGAGGGATAGGCCGCGAGGACCGCCCCACCCTGCAGGCAGCCCCGGGAGCTGGGCACCCTGGCCGCACGCCCTGCCCGCTGCCACCTCGCTCTGCGCGGTCCGTCCCCAAGCCCAGGCGGGGATCGGACTCCAGGGGTCTGGAGCCGCACGCAGGCTGAGAAGAACAAGGAGCTTTGGGCGCTTGGCGGAGGGGAGTGGGGTGGGGAGCGGCGGAGAGCATCTCCTGGAGGGAGAAAGGCATGACGGGGGTCCTGTTTCCTGAACTGGGGGTCATGATCTACAGGAGGAGACCATCGATGACGGTGATGAAGAAGAAAGTGTTGAGAATTGGGCTAATTGGTGACAAGTGCCAGGAGCTGTCTTGGCAGTACCCAGAACACCGGGGCCAGTTCATATTAACAGAGCGTCCACTGGCCAGAAACCAGGCCCCTGGGTGGGGACGGGACTAAGGATGCCAGGACGGAAAGGAAACAAGGTTCCTACCCTGAAGCAGCAGAGAAAGTCTAGTCCCGGCAAGACTTTTGAAATTATGGGCAAAGATGTTTGCAATTTTGTAAAGCGGGGGAACGTGCCCTGAGAGGTCCCCAAGGGAACTTTGGAGGGATGCGAAAGCCAGGATTGGTCAGTGGCAGGGAAAGGGCTGGGGAATGCCCCTCTACCAGCTCTCCCTGCTCCTGGGCAGCTGGGGGTGAATGGGGTCGTTACAACAGGCTAGGACACCTCCTAATAATTGCTCCAGAATTCTAACCCCAAACCATTAACCCAACCACTCAGTTCAGGTTTTAACAAGCTATGGGGTAGAGGCAGCAGAACTAACAAGTTTCAAAATGTCTGGTGCCAGAATCTGATCATTTAAGTCCTCTTGGCAGCCTTTACTCCGAACCGTCGTCACTCCTATTTGATGATAGAGTTGGTTTCTGGAATATGAGTAAAAACCTTGTACAAAATCAATTTTTCAGGAAAGCTCCAGGTGGGTAATTAAAATCCTAGCCATAAGGCAAGGGGTCAACATACTCAAGCCATCAGGCAACTCAGTGGTATCCTAATGCCAAGAAAGAATCTTGGATTCATGTTCCCTTACCCTGCACCTTAGGCCCACTGGGCACTCTTGGCTGCCTGCACTGATCAGAAATAGTTTCTTTGTATGTCTTTGGGAGGAGGTAGGTGGAAGTCAGAAAGCAGAGGAAAGTCTTCAGGAAATGTTTGGTCTCTAAAGTCTTGGATCTCACAAATGAAAATTCTTCCTGAGTCTGGGCCAGTGAAAATCTCCTAGGAGCTGGGGAAGTTAAGTTACAGTTTATGGAAACTTACAGTTTAAATGTGTTGCCTTATTTCAAGACACCAGTATGATCCAGTAATTTAACCAGGAAAACAATAGTAATTCCGAAATCCTTACAAATTTTAGTGAATTGTAATTTAGTAGTAACAGATTTCAGTGATTCTGGTGTATGCCAACTAAGATGGATGTTTCTCCCCAGGGAGTTCTATCCGAATTCTTCAGAAGAGGAAATTTCTGTACAAAGCATGCCTGTGGCCAAGTCAAATAGGTCAGTCAGTTGTTCACCTTGTGGAATGGTCTTCAGGTGGAAAAAAACAAGCCATCAGGCAACTCAGTGGTATCCTAATGCCAAGAAAGAATCTTGGATTCATGTTCCCTTACCCTGCACCTTAGGCCCACTGGGCACTCTTGGCTGCCTGCACTGATCAGAAATAGTTTCTTTGTATGTCTTTGGGAGGAGGTAGGTGGAAGTCAGAAAGCAGAGGAAAGTCTTCAGGAAATGTTTGGTCTCTAAAGTCTTGGATCTCACAAATGAAAATTCTTCCTGAGTCTGGGCCAGTGAAAATCTCCTAGGAGCTGGGGAAGTTAAGTTACAGTTTATGGAAACTTACAGTTTAAATGTGTTGCCTTATTTCAAGACACCAGTATGATCCAGTAATTTAACCAGGAAAACAATAGTAATTCCGAAATCCTTACAAATTTTAGTGAATTGTAATTTAGTAGTAACAGATTTCAGTGATTCTGGTGTATGCCAACTAAGATGGATGTTTCTCCCCAGGGAGTTCTATCCGAATTCTTCAGAAGAGGAAATTTCTGTACAAAGCATGCCTGTGGCCAAGTCAAATAGGTCAGTCAGTTGTTCACCTTGTGGAATGGTCTTCAGGTCTGCTGGAAAAAAAAAAAAGCAAGTGGGAGTTCAGTATCCTGAAATATCAAGTAAGAAAAAGCAATGGCTTAGTTTCCCGGTTACCTTTGGGGTGAATGCAAGTTGATAATAATAAAGGCTGCTGGGGAAAGCCCAAATGTGCCTTTTCTGCCAGAGGCCCTGCTACTGGCTTAATGTAGAGAACCTTATTCAGAAAAAGTATGATTTCTTGTTCTCAGGTGGGCACTCATACAAGCAGACAAGAACAAGGATGTGTAGTATCTCAGAACTCATGAGTTAGAATCCATAACTGTTTAAATTACTTACACCTTGGTAGCTATACTGGGTTCAGCTCACTTCTCTGTCTCTGCAGGGGGTCTACTGTGGAACAGGATGAAGCTGGGGGTGGGAGTGGGGAGAGCAGTCATTTGACCCAGGCCTCACAATCATGAATAGCCTCAAATATAGACTTTGGCCCTAAGCATTCATTTGTTCCTTGTAAACATTAGAACTTTTTGTTTTGCTTTGTGTTGCACATTAGAATCCTTCCTAGAGGGCAGATTAAAATGAGACTCTATCAAAGAGGACCAGAATATAAGGAAAACAAAGAGCAGACAGGTTGGCTCACAGAACTCATAGCCTAAAATAACTTTTGTACTGAATTTTTTTTCTTGAAAATAGAAACATCAACTTTTTTTTTTTTTTTTTTTTTTTTTGCGGTACGCGGGCCTCTGTTGTGGCCTCTGGCTCCGGACGCGCAGGCTCAGCGGCCATGGCTCACGGGCCCAGCTGCCCCGCGGCAATGTGGGCTCTTCCCAGAACGGGGCATGAACCTGTGTACCCTGCATTGGCAGGCGGACTCTCAACCACTGCACCACCAGGGAAGCCCTAGAAACACCAATTTTATTGACAACATAGGGCCACAACGGGCAGCTCCACAGAACACAAATGAGGAAGAATCTAAAATTGCAATGTCACCTCACTCGCACTGTGTTTCTCTAGGTGACTGATGATGTTCGAGTCACATGTAAACTGTTGGAGCCCGTCCCTGTCCCACTCAAGCAGAAGGGCAGGACGTCTCACCTGGGAGACGAGCTCTCATTTCTTTGGGGCACCTGCCAGTTGGTCAGAACAGGAGATAAGGTAGAGAGGGGAGCCTCCAGCCTTGGGTAAGGAACCCTCTGACATGGGGCAGTGCTTCCTTCCAGATGTCCCATCAATGTGGACAGCTAGTTCCATGTCAGAGGCCCCCCTGAGGACAGGCTAGCTGATGGCACCATCATCCCAAGTGAAATGATTTCTAAATAAACATATAACCCCACCTTGGAAAGAGGATTCAAATGTTTTTACGTTATCTTGAATCATGAGCTCCCGAGGGCAGGGACCAGACCTTAACTTATTTACACAACTTCCTTATGCCGTGCTGTGGAAGAGACTGAGCTGCTGTGGCCTTAAACCTGGAGTTTAGAGTGGTTTTTGTGGAATCAGGCTGATGAGGCTACTTATCAAGTATGAGATAATAGGATGGCGTGGGGAGCCTTAAAACCTGGGCAAGATTGAATGGAATCTGACTCGTTTCCTTGGATATTGACAAGGCTGAAACATTGCCTGTCTCCCTGGAGACTAGTTTCCACTTTGGAAGTGGAGGATGGACCTGCTATGTGTGGAAGCATCACTCAGCAACGCAGATTGCTGCGTTGCTGCCCAGGAATTGGCAAAGAGCCACCTGCTATTAGAAGCCAGTAGCCTCATTCCTGTGACACTCAGCTAACTACCTTCTCGCCACGCCATTACTGAGTCTCTGTCTGCCTCGGTTGCCTGGTGTTAAATCAGACTGCAAGATACTTGGGCAATGAGTATGTGTATCTGTCCTATAAAATCTTCCAGCATGCTGGCAAAGCTCCATAAACTCAAGAATAACAAAAATATCAGAAGAATAACAAAAATATCAGAAGAAAGAACGTGGCTTTTCCACGTTCTCTCTTGCTGAAGAAAATAACTGGAACATGGTTATTACCGGGATCCAACAGAAGGCGAAATGCTACAGATGGCCCAGTGGAAAGAATAAGGAATAAGGCAGTGAACTGCTGAGAGCCACAATAAATCATAAGATGGAGAAAAATAAGATGTAATGCAATAAAGTGAACAATGTTTTGTTGGTAGAGCACTCTCTGAAAAGCAGCAATGGAAATGTCTTGACTCATTTAAAACAAGAATTGACAAAGCAATTCCCAAGTACAGAAAGTGCCAGAACATTACTGGCTATATGTACACTAGCTCTGAAGAAAAACATGTAGAAAAGAAGATGCAATAACCAAAGTGTGAAAGAGCTGAGAGTTTCTTTTAGCTAGAGCGTTTTAGGACAGCTCAGCATCCCTGGCCAGGCCTAATGAGGGGGTGCAGACCCGCCCTGCTTCACCGTTAGCTCCAGACTATCCATGGAGCTGAGAAGTTTGGGGGGAGAAGGGGGAGTGACTATTTATGGGTGTGGAGTTTCTTTGGGGGTTAATGGAAATGTTCTAAAACTGATAGTGGTGATGGCTGCATGACAGTGAATAATACTAAGAACCATCAAATCATACAATTCTATGGCATGTGGATTACATCTTAATACATTTTGGTTTATGAGGGCAGGGTTTAGTTCTGAGTCCTCATGCAAACACGTTTAGTCTCTTTTTGAATCAGATTGCTTCTCTTCCATGTTTGCACACCTTGCTTGAAAGGCTCTCCTTCCTGGAACCAGGTCTCTCACACGTGGGCAGGGGGGCTTCTTGCTCCATCCCTCAGCTTCCCTTCCTGTGCTTTCACACACCTTTTCTGGAGTTCACACTCCTCCTCTGATACTTACTTTCCACTGCAGGACTTACCTGCTGGTGGGGACTTTTGGACTAGTGTCTGTGGTCCCCACCACAGAGAAATGCACAAGGCTTTACTGTTGCAATCTTGAGATACGCTTGTAAAGGCTGCAAGACAA